GACAAATCTGACGTGGTCCTTGAATGGCTGTTGCTTAGATTAGCTCACAGGCGCTCTGGTTACCTGCACAAGACCTGACACGATCAATCCATTCAAAAAACCAGCATGGATGGGGGAGGGGCCCCTGAGGCCCCACCTCTGTTGGAGGAACTATTGGCCATTGGTGGCTGCTGAGGGAAGAATTGGTCTCCTCAGGGGACACGGCCGGCCATACTCATTTCTTTCTCTAAATATCTCCTTGGGGGGAAGTACCTTGTTTCCACGCATGTATTATCTTCCTTTCTACGATTTATTTTTATTATTTTTAATTAGGTGTGTGTGTGTGTGTGTGTGTGTGTGTGTGTGTGTGTGTGTGTGTGTAAGAAAGACAGATGCATTGGATCCCACTGGAGCTGGTGGTTGTGAGTCACCTGACATTGGTGCTTGGAACTGAACTCCAGTCCATTGGAACAACAGTATGCGTTCTTGTTCTTACTGCTTACTGGCCGAGCCGTCTCTCCAGCCCCGTGTTTAAGGAAATCACTCACAGTTCAGTTTTTTTTTTTTTTTTTTTCTGTTCTCTCCTTTGGTTTCTTTTGTACCAGCACCTTCCGCTCCTCTTCCATTTGGTGTCTGATTTCCATGATTGCGGGTCTAAAACAAGATAGTACCCACTTTTCTTTTTATAGCTGAACCTAGGGATTGCAGGCATCACTCTTGATGTGATTTAGCAACGGATCTGGTTATGTCAGACAGAAGACTCTCCAAGTAGAGATAAAAATATTCCTCCTCTGATAAGTCACTGCCCCCCCCCCCCACTCCCCTGAGAGCCTGCCCTTGCAGGAGCTAAGAAAGAAAAGTGTGTGGATCTGCACTTCCTTCCTCCCCTTCACTGGAAAGCACCTCCCCCCCCCCCCTGGATTCCCTTGTCTTCTAGCTCAGCCTCACCTGGGAGCTAACATTTTTGTTTCTTAGTAACCGGGTGGAGGAAGTGATCTGCGGATCTGCTCTATGAATTTCTTAGATTACACAGACTTCCAACTACTTCTATTTGCAGCTTCTCTTCTAACTACTGCCTTCAGGGATACCTGACAGCTGGAATCCCCCTGACCTGAACCCAAGTTCTGTGTGCTGCTGCAAGGAGCGAGAGTTGTAGCCTCAGCTCAGTGTGCCTCGTGGACCAGACTGGCTGGGCTCCTAAACATCATTTTCTTTTTAGAAACTCATCACAGATCTTCCCAGGTCAGAATCTCTGAGTGTGAGTCTGGTGGTGTGCATTTCTTATAAGGCTCTCAGGTGACCAGACGGGAAAGTCAGCAGTCCAGCATTGGCAGGCTTTGTCACATTCAGGCTCTGTCTTTGAAGGCTCAGGGGACCAGGCAGAAGGGACAGACCTTGAATAATCTGTGGGCATTTTGAGAGGACACGTCTTGATGAGGAATGTTGCTGGTAGTATTTCTCAGTGGAGAACAGAAAGTCAAGGAACCCAGGGAAACAGCGAGAGGCTGTGCAGCAGCCCGCCTCTGTCTGGGAGGGGCCATTAGGAAGTGTTCTCCATGGATCTGGCATTTCCTTTGAAGACTAGAGAAGCTTTCTTCTCTCTACTTCACTTCTCTCACCTCTGTTCCCTTATTTCCACATACAGATCTGTAATGCAAAGGAAGCCATATACAGGTATTTTGAAGTTTGGAAAGCCAAAACAACAAAGCTCTTGAACTTCACCCAGACATGATCAATAGTGAAAGTATTCACTTAAGTGAACAGGCTCCAGAATCAATGAGGTTTACATCCTGTGAAAATAGCCTGGGTAGCATACACAGAAAAAATGCTAAATGCCTGTTTTTCTTCTGTTCCCTACATCACTCCATCTACTTTAGGAGTGGTCTGTGCAAGCGGTTAGGTCTAAAAAGTGACCAAGAGAACAGTCATAAGTGAAAGGCACGGGCCGAGAGAAGGAAGAGGGAAGGAGCAAAGAACACAGAAGTAGGAGCTGCTGAACTAAGGTGGCACACGGCCAAGATTCCTCAAGTCTATGCGAAAACTTTAAACAGGAAAATGAGAGGGAGATAGGGCGAGGAATGATAATAACCAAAAGTAAAGAATTAAACTACATTTAAACCAATTCCCTGGTTTTAATGTCCACATTATATGCATTTTCCCCATGAAAACTCACTTCATTAAAATATAAAATTTGGTTGGTACTTAATTTGTATAGATTCTACACTGAGGACTTGTTTGCTTACAGCTAGGTAATACTGTGGCAGGTGGCATTTCACAAACTGTGGCAGTTCCTGGTACAGATATAATCTTTTCTTTCTTTCTCTCTTTCTTTCTTTCTTTTTTTTTTTTTAATTTTTTTTTAGAGACAGGGTTTCTCTGTGTAGCTTTGGAGCCTGTCCTGGAACTTGCTTTGTAGACCAGGCTGGCCTCAAACTCACAGAGACCCACTTGGTTCTGCCTCCTGAGTGCTGGGATTAAAGGTGTACGCCACCACCGCCTTTGTTTACAAATTTCACAAATTTGTTTACAAATTTTAATGGAAGAGAATGGATTTACTAAATCCTATGTTAGTATCTACAACTGCAGGATGGCTAGCATTTTATGAAGGCCATGGATCACCTAGAAAGGAAATTATTTTCCTCATTTCCTATATTTACAAGATTGTACAAGGAAATTTGTTCAGAATTTTTGGAGGTGGAAAAAAGTATTTGTTAAATGTGTTGCATTGCAAAGTGATAGTTATTACAGGGGAAAAGCAATAAAACTAGGTATGCTATTTTCCCTCCAGTTTCTCTCTCTGGTCAAATATAACTGTGCTTTGTATACTTGATGACCATTTTTTTTTCTTGAATTGCAAAGTTGCATTTCTTAACATGATGCCTGACATAGGGTAGACAATTTATGCTTCTTGAGTGTATGGCTGGGATTAGAATAGATAATTATAGGACCGAAAAGATTCTTGTTGCCGTTGGATAAGTGGATTCAATTCTCATATGTAGGTGCGTGGGCTACTAACTCACCAGCCACATCATCCTATATTTGGATCTTTTATAAAGCCAGGAAGCCTAAGGTTCTTGGAAAAGGTACGTTTGGTAAAGCAGTGTCAAGTTATATGGCTTTAATACACGCACAAACTTTTATTTCACTCACACTGACATGACATATACAACATTCAAGGCTTATAGAAAATTAACTTGCATTTTAGGCTATTTATGCATGTAACTACAGAACTATAAAAATACATAGAAAACATTATCATTTTTAATCCTATTAAATTTAATCATATTAAAAATGAAGTTTGGAATTCATTGGTAAAGTAATATAAGAGAAGGAAAGCACGTTTACCGTCAAATAGACATTAAACCAGAATGAGATGCATATCCCAGGCATTACCTAGGAGATCGCAAAGACACGAACTTCACACTTTTCTGCAGACGAGTAGATACAGCCCATTAGCTTTTCATAATGAAAAATAACTAGTTCTCAGGTAAGAGAACCTGACACTATTTGTCATATCCATAGTGGGTTGTTGGGGTACCATCTGTATTTTAAGAGAAAAAGCAATACTTATGTCCGGGGAAACTTCACCATTTAGAGTTCTAGTATTCCATAGAAACTGGGAGATAGGGGGCTATTTGTGCTGGGATCTGTGAACTTTGAAAGACATTGGTTCCCAGGTTTGTTTGGGGATTCCCCTACCCTTGCTGGGGTTCAGACAGGGTTTTAAGCGCTCTAACACTGATTCATACTCCTGTACCTTCCAAGTTCTTGAGAAAGACATCCCTGGATCATAAATTTGACAAGAGTACTTAATAGTTGTTTTCTGAGAAAAAGAAGGGGAAGAGAATCTCATCCATTTTGAACAGTAAGGCTTAAACATTTGTTTGTCCTTACAGTATGTTTGGTTTCTTGGGCTCTGAAACCGACTTAAGTGAATAACCATTCAGAATAAAAAGTATTCATCTTTCTTCTTTGGCTCTCGCCTAACTCAAAGGTTTTAAGGGTGGGAGTGGAAACGGAGCTGTTCGACTTGTTGCACACAACCAATGTGGTTGAGCTCACGTACAAGATACAATGCCTTAAAAAGCGTGCTACAGCAATACGGGAGTGACGCTCAGTGACGAGTAACACCTATCACAGAGCTCCAGATCACCTAGTAAGATTTGCTGGGTCCACATTACTCATTTTGCGCCAAATTGGCGGAGAGCGCTTCAGAAAACAGCCCTTCTTGGAAGAGCAAACCAGTGTCGAGTTCTCGCTTTCCAGACTTTCCTAGAGGTAAGTACTTTCGAGGGGACCGCTCCCAGGTCCCGCGGTACACCTTGCACAGCATCCACGTTCCCAGCGAGTCTCAGATCGTTTAGCGTCGCAGGCCCTGGGGAGCACAGGCGTGATTTGCAAAGACAACGCGTTGAGCGCGCTGCTGAAACGCAAAGGCGCTTTAAAGGAATCCACGTTTTACAGCACACGCAAGCAAAACGCGGGAAGGTCGAGGGGACCGTCCGGTGCGCAGCCTGCTCCGGGGTAGGGAGGAGACGCCGCACCCGCCCGCACCCCGCGGGCGCTCCACATCTAGTCACGCCTCCTTTCCGGCCGGCCCGACCGCGGGGCTGACCCTTCCGGCGGCCCCATCTTATCACCCGGCCAGGCCACTTCCCGGCTTCGGCCCTGCGGGCCTCCCCGAAGAGTTTCCTGCCAGGCCCCCTCCGCCTCCGCGCCCATCCCGCCGCGCAGTCCGATCGCTGGGCTCGGAGATCGGGGCTCCTCATGGAAGAGAGAGACCCGCGAGAAGCAGCCCCGCCGGGAAGCGGCCCAGGGCGGCGGCCCGCGGCCCACGCCTCCTTTCGCCCGCAACCCCAGTCCGCGCCCACCCGCTAAGCCCCGCCCCTCCCGGGCCCGGGCCAATGGGCCGCGCCCGCCTCCTGGGAGGTAGTCGAGGAGGGGGTTGGGGCCGGCGGCAGCGCCCGCCCCTCGCTCTCGCTCATTGGCTGAGGTCTCAGGGTGCCCGGAGACCGGAGTGTAGCGCGATTGGCTGTAGAGACTCGCGACGGCGGCTCCTATTGGCTGGGGCAGCCCCCGTGACGCCGGGTGGCGACTGGCTCCCGGGTCTGAGGGGCTCCTGCTTGTCAGGTTCTAGGTAGGTGCGTTTCACGCCGCCGTCGGTAGGCACTGTTGCCCGGGGCAACGCCCCGGGAGGTGGGAAGGAGGCCGGAAGGCGAGCCCTGCACGGGGGCAACCGTCCCCGCCCGCAGCGGGGCGCCGGGCTTTGGCCCAGCGGGCGCGGGCTGCTCGGAGGCTCTTCCTCCGCCCTCAGCCAGCTCCGTCCCCGCCCCGGGGCTGCGGGGGTCACTCGCCCCATCCTGCCCGCGACGGAGCATTCCGGGTTGGGCTTGGGTCCGGCTGCTCACCCGGCCCCGCGAGGCCCGCCCCTCCCACACGCCCGGACCCGGAGGCTGAGGGGGCGGTGCCGGCCGTGGCGGGCGCCTGGCCCCGCCCCGTCGCGGGTCGCGGGTCTGCGGGGCGTGGGGCGGGGTGGTGGGGGCTGCGGCGCCCCGAGCCCGCACCCTTTTCCTCCTGGCGCTCATCGCCCCTGTCTCACGGTGCCCACACCCCTTCTGGGCTCCTCACCCCTGGCCGCCCTCTCTTGGGGGCACCCAGCCCCCGGCGGTCCCGCAGCCCCTTTTCATCAGGACCCACTCACCGTGGGTCGCCTCTCCAGCTTCACGTCCCACTGCCCCTCTTGTTAAGGGTTGTCACTTTAAGAAGTCTCAACTAGATGGAGACTTCAGGTGTGAAGCCGGCAATCAGGGGCGGTTTTTTTTGCCCTAAGGGCTATTTAGGGGTCTGAGGTGTCTGGAGGCACCCTTGTGCCCTCCTGGGACTACCTCTTAGGATAAGCTCTCAGAAACATGAGGTTAGTTTTGGCAAGAGCCAGGGCGCTTTTGAACAACTTAAGTTTCCATCAGGTGGTCCATTTGTACTCTGTACATTTGTGATTTTGTTGGGGATACCGTTGCAATCTAAATTTGTTAAGGTTGGGGCAGCTTTTCGTTTTCATTCACCTTATGATGTAAGAACAATGGAACTTGTAATGTTTTTACTTCTGAAGAAACTATGCATTCAGTGGTCTCACTGTAACAGTCTCTAACACATGCTACTCTAACTTGTACAGGAGTTTCCAGGCATTTGAAGGAAAACTTCTCACCCGAAGTCACTGTATTTAAAAGTTTGATGGAAAAAAAATCTGAAGGACAAGGCCAACACTATTTTAGTGGTTAATGTCTGAAAACTTTGCGATCCACATGTGAAATGAGAACAGGATTAAAAAGAAAACAGTATTGCAAAAATACATTGTTCGGGGCAGGGACTATTTGTGAACCTATCTCCATAGGGTTTATGATGGTGTGCGGAAGAGCCACAGGATATAAAAGGTTGAGTGTCTCTTTTACAGCCAAGAAAAGATTTTCTGATAGCCCTCGAGTGAAGGGTTTTCAAAGGTCCTGGGGATGTTTTAAGAGAGTGCATAGGCATTCTTGGAAACACTTTCGGTTTTCTTCCATAAAAGACCTTTGGCAAGATCTGTTTCTTTTCTGCATTGACAGTGTTAATATACACTAGCTAAGATTATGTAGTGTCCCATTAAAGCAGCTTCTGCTCTGCTTCAGAGGTAGATGTCATTTATGTGGGAGAAATAGTCCAGGCTTTTGTAGACGAAATACTTGAATTCCATTCTTAGTTGCCATGTAGCTCTAACTTGTCTGCGAACTCTTCAGATTCGTAGTTTTTTTTCCTCTGCTGTCAAAAATTTCAGGTTACACAGAAAAAAGTGAGTTGTACTTGTTACTTACGTATGGCAGCAGCAGTACCTTTTACATAGCGGTTCCATGGTAAATATTAACAACAGAGGAGCTGAAATGATCAGATTTGGAAAGCTGACGTAACTGTATAGAACACTAGAGTATTGCAAGGTGCTTGTTTGTGTGTAAGTGGAGATAGTAAAACTAAAGAGTAACAGGAAAAAGACCACAGTAATTCGGTTACACCGAGCACTCCGTGTGGTTTGGTGAGGAAGTGGAAGATAGTATCTTTGTATCTAAGGATTCTGGTAGTCTCAGGATAATCTGCAAGCTTGTCATGTAAACCAAAGTTTTGTTTTAAGCTTGGATTTGTGTTAATAGGTGGTAGTTTTGCACCGTGATGTACGTCTTTTGGGGTGAGAACAAAAGGATGATCAGTTATTCAGTGTTTTGATCATGTAACTGAACACATTGGATCAATCTTACGCATGTTGTTTTGGAAGAATATTTTGTGATGGAAAAAGTTTGCAAATGTGACTTCAGAAAATAACTAATTTAGACCTATTTCATGGAGACTAACTTTGTTTCCTAGGTTTATTAGTGTTTCAACAGGACTTAAAACTATCTTCATAGTGTTAGTAAAGGAATATATTACCACAGAACTTGAGTTTCTAATAAAGGATTAAAGTGGAAATGGCATTAGTTCACACACACAGAGTAATTGTATATTTTCAGTCTGGGGAAAATTTTTCCTAAATATTTGCATCCTTTTAATTTAAAGAAAGATTTTATGTCTATCTTTGTATATACTAATTTCTAAAATATTTAAGAGGGATTTAATCAGAATTTACAGATAGATAAGACTTTCATTGTCTTGGCATACTTGCTGTGGTCTGTGTTTCATTGAGACATCAAAGGAAGTAAGGTCGCAGTTTCGGGACTTGAGTAGTACTTCAGCTAACTTGGAGATGGTGAGCTGCACACTAGCTCTCCCCCATAGCTCCACTTTCCCTGCCTCTCCCCTCCTTTTCACTCCTTTTTCCCATTTTCATTTAGTTATTCAAGGTGAGTTCTTCAAAATCACTGAGGGAGCATAGAGAAGAAATCATGAGTTACTCTGTCATAGTTAGTGTTTTAGAAAGTAACTAAGAGTTGCCGTTTATCACACAACACTAGCAGTTTGCACAGTTTGGTGGATACGTTCCAGTGTGTCTACATCTGCCCCAACGTTTGTAGAGTGCGTGAGCTTGAGGCTTGGCTGCACTAACTCAGCTGCTTCCGGATGTGAGGAAGAACAGAATAGAGGACACATTAGAGCTGGAACAAAGAAATCAGAATAAAACAGTTACTTTTTCCTCATTCTGTCCGAACAAGTACAGTCCGAGTTTACCAGGCACGTCGTTAGCTGATGTATGGCTGCCACATTATGGGGTCTTCAAGAGTTTCTGAAATTCAGAGTTATATAAGTAAACTGAAATTCACTTAGTACCTTTTTAAGAAAATACATTTTAAGAAAAATATCTCCATTTTAGGGGTATTGCATATTCAGCTTTAAAGAATACAATGGCATGCATAACTTGTAATTATTTCTTAAATCTTCATCTGTAGTTATCAAACTATGACTAATATTCAGTCTACATTATTACCATTCATTATAAGCTTGATATTATCTCGTTCCTCAGTAAGTATTAATTAAAAGTCTGGAATTTTTAATGACAGAGTTCCTTGCCAGGTTGGGAAAGTGTAGTTAAGAGAAGAACGGTTTATTTTGAAGCCATATAACTTGGGTTTGAGCTCCAGTTTCTCTTTTGTGGGATCTTAGACAAATTACTTAATATCATCAAATCATAGTTTCCTCTTCTATTAAATGAGTAAGATAAAATTACCTCATACAGTAGTTATGCAGAAGCACTGAGACAATGTAAGTAAAAATGCCCGAAGTTAGGGAGTGCTGGACTTTTGTATTCAGCTCTTTGTATCAATTTTTATCTGTTCTGGTGTTACTAGGGTGATTCTGGCTTAGTCTGAATTCTTTTGCTGTGAAGAGACTCAATGACCAAGACAACTCTTAGAAAAGGAAGGATTTAATTGGGGGTTTACTTACAGCTTCAGAGGGGGATGGGGAGGGGGAGGAGGTGGGGGAGGAGAAGGAAAGAGAAAGAGAGGTGGGGAGGGAGGAGAGTACAGGGTGCGTGGGCAAGCACCTCTGGCACCAACAAAGCTGGTCCTCAGGGAGGGGGGTTCAGATCAGTTCCAACTGATCTGAAGTGTATAGAGGTAACTTCCTCCACTTCTGGGGTGTGACCAAGAGCAACAGCCATAGGCACTATGCTCTGGGAGTCTCTCTGATCGTCCTGGCCAGCAATGTAAAAGATGGCTTCTCATTTCTGGTATTGGGGATTTCGGCTTTTGTTAGGTGTTCTTTGGCTGTTGAGGGGCATGAGGAAAGTTCATTAAAACTATATGTGTACATCTATACACTGAATTATGTGCGTTATAGGCTTTTTAATAGTTAATAGTTTGATTCCTTGTGGCTTTTTCTGCCATCCATATTATTTTACCTCCTTCCCTCCTCTTGTATTTACCTTCCTCTCTCTTCCCTAAAGGACACCCCCTGCCTTTTCCTACTCTCCCCCCTCAGATCAGTAGTTCAATTCTTCAAGTATTTTTATTTCACCTTGATGCCATTTGTTGTTGGTTGAATGTGCTGTAAATTCCTTTCATTTGAACCAAAAGTATTCACTTAAAATTGGTAGAGAGAAGGTAAATTTTATTTCCTTAAATTTCTTATCAGCACTCCCACTTTGGATCACATTCACTCACTGTTTAAACTGTTTACTTATAGGGTTCTAGTTTTTTTGTTTTGTTTTTTTGAGACAGGGTTTCTCTGTAGTTTTGGTGCCTGTCCTGGATCTCACTCTGTAGACCAGGCTGGCCTCAAACTCACAGAGATCCACCTGCCTGGCTCTGCCTCTTGAGTGCTGGGATTAAAGGTGTGCGCCACCACCACCCAGTGGGGTTCTAGTTCTTAAAAGAAAACTGTTAAAATGCGCAGCTTATGGATGTTGGGTGCAGTGGAGTAAGCCCTCCACTAAGCCTTAGTTGAGGTATTCAGAAGTTACTGACCCAGCCTGCAGCACACATTTTGACTGAAGTCAGTGATTCTCAATGTTTCCTCCCATCCGAGTATAAGATGATCACATGTGTGACAATGTGAAGTTTCTAGGTGCCAGCTGTGATTCTGTCTTCCTTTCCCATTCAAGCATATCAGAATGAAGGTATTGACAGTAATGTCACTAGAGGCACAAGCTTGGATTTACTCTGATTTATTGAAGAGAGT